GAGTACCCCGCCCGCGTCCAAGCTGCCCCCCCTGCCTGCAGGCAAGGCGGGCCGGAGCACAGCCAGCATCTTCCCCTGCCTCGAGCAGCCTCCTGCTCCCCCCGCCCTTGCGCATCTCCTGCCAGGAGAGGTGAGGGGCCACGTGTCGGCGTGCGGGCGCAGCGGCAGATCCCCTGACCGCTTGCCTTGTGCTGGTGCTAATCCTGCTGTGGCTGTGCCCCTCCCCGCAGTGCCCCGGCCCCACCGGGGCCTTGCACCAGCCCCTGCTGCGGGGGAATTATAGAGGTGGGGCGATGGGTGCGAAGCACGCACAGAGCTGGACCCGCTGCCTGGCTGTGCTGGCCGCCCCTTCCACAGGGGCACGTTGCAAATGCCCTTTCCCCTGTGAGGGCTGTCTGCCAGGGACTGTTGTGCCCCAGCGCTACTGGAGCATACCAGGACTGCTACCCCACGGGACTGCTCCTGCTGCGCCCCATCCTGCTCCTCGCAGTCTCAACACCCTAGTGAGCAGCCTGGCCCTGCTATGCCTGGCAAAGCTACATCCTCTCCTCCTCTCCCCTCTTCCTCTTCCCACCTCGAGTGTCCCCCTCTGTGTGTGTGTGTGTGTGTGTCCCCGGTCCTGCCACCTGCTTGCAGCCCTCAGGCAGTGAGGATGCTGGTGGTGCACGCCAGGTTGGGGGTCAGCAAACGCTGGCTGCCACAACTAGGCAGGGGCAACACTGTCCCCCAGCAGCACCTGTGTCCAGTGGCCACCGCGCCTCCTCCAGCCGTGGCATGGCCACAGAAGAGTCCGGCTCACCTCTGCACACAGTGTGGCGGCACCAGGCTGCCTGGGGATTGCTGCCACGGCACAAGGGTCACCCTTGGCATGCACCCCATAGTGCTGGCTGCTCATGGGACCCCGAGAGCCGGTGTTGGCACAAACAGCCCCACGCTTGTGCACATGATGGGATGCTCCTCTGGGCTCAGACCTGCATGGTGGCGGGAGACAGGGGACTGTGCTGTGGGGCCGTTGGGTGCTGCTCTGTGACCTCTCCATTAAAGCACGGTTGTCCACTCCCAGTGCCAAGAGCTGTTTATTCACTCCTCCACAGTGCACAGCTATCTGCTAAGAGAGTTTTTCATGTTGAGGAAAAGCCCGTACAGGCTGGTGGGGCTGGTAGAAGATGAGTGGGCAGGGCTCTGCCCTGGGGTGAGGGATCCCAGAGGGCTCAGCCATCCAACAGCAGCAGGATGGCTTTTGGAGAGTGAGCTGGAACCTGGGCAAGCTTCTCAATGGAGACACTGACTGCCTCCTGCGCAGTCCTTTCCCTGGGGCCGGGCCCCGAGGGTTTCCCTAGCTCCCTTCAGAGCTGGCTGCCACTGGCTTGTGTCAGCTGTGTTTCTCCATGTGTCACTGTCTGCTCCATCTGTCTGGCTGAATGCACATAAGTGTCCCTCCTCCTGCCCCTGGGGGTGTCTCCGTGGCCACTGCCACCCCAGCCCATTCCAATGCAGGCCCTTGCAGGGCAGCTCTGAAGGTGGTATATGCTGCTCCCCCAGGCAGGTCACAAGCTCCCAGGGAGTCCAGCTGGTCCACAGGTCCCTCTAGACATCCCACTGCTGGCTGGGTGCATATCCCAGCCTGCAAAGCACCTGGTACATCTCAGCGTGATGGTCTGAGTGTGGTCCCCTCCCCATGGCGTTGCTTTGCCTTGCTAAGCTGCGCCTGGTCCCCTCCCTCGTCCAAGGGGTATTTGCTAGCACCATTTCCCAGTGAGATTTAATAAAGTCTAGGAGGTCTCTCGGGGGGCTGCTGGAAGCAAATGTGCTGACCTTAGTGTGGGACTGGTGCCACCCATGACAGCAGTGCCCTGCCACTGTCCCAGGGCCTGTGGACATCCGGGGCTGGGACCTCACTTCCCTGCCAGGATGCTTGCTGGTGGCTGCCTCTGGCCTCACCTCCAGTTCCTCTGGGGACTGGGGAACGGGTTATTTTTCGAAGCACTCCAAGGACACGGGTTGTTGTTGCCGATAAGCGGTGAGGGGCAGCTCCGCCCCAGCAGGAACAGCTCATTGGCCGCCTTCCCATCCACACCAGAAAACATCGTCCTGTCTCAGCAACCAGCGTCCCCGCAAAGCTGTCGCAGGCTCGTGGCAGTCCCCACGATGCCACGCTCGGTAAGTGGCAACCGCTCTGCTCGGGTAGTTTGGGGGGGGCCTGGGATGGGTGGGAGCCGCTGTTGGCTCTGCGTGAAAACAAATGAGATGGAGGAAAGGAAAAGCCAAGCGCAACACTGCTCTCGAGCACTGGTGTAAGTCCAGGACAGGGCCACTTGTGTGGGAGTCTGCAGGTGGGCATCACTGTGGGGTGGGCAGCATCCCCCATCACATGGCAGCACTGGCAGTTACCCCAGGTAGGGAGGGACTGGTAGGGGTCCAGAGGCCACTGTCTCAGAAAGTGCCTCCCGTGAGCTGGGAACGGATGTTTGGTCAAGCTGAATATCCCTCCGGCAGGTTTGATGCTACTCTGGTTGCTTGCAGAGAAAGAAGTACTTGATGGGCGATTAGAAACACAACCCGTGGAGCCTGCTCCTTTTGTCACTGAGCGCAGAGCAGCCCTGCAGTGTTGTCCCTGTCACCCAGTGTGTGCAGCACACCTCCGTGCTTCACAGGGACCTTTTGTGAGGCTGCGGGTTCCCCTGAAGCCCCCACGGGACCACACAGGTCCTGCCTCAGTCGCTGCTCTGCAGTACGCGGGGACCTTTGGCAAGGGTGGCACCATCCTGGTTGTCACAGGGTGGGCTGGACCAGGGTTGGGACACAGGGCAAGAGCTCCAGCCCAGTGCATGGGGCAGGTGAGGAGAGATTTGGGAGGGAAGCACTCCCCGTTCCTGCAAGGGGAGCACTGGGGTGGTGCAGGGGGCAAGCTGAAGGGATGTCCCACAGCCAGGGCAGATGCCCACGCTGGCAGAGCCCTAAGAAGTTGCGTTCCTGGCTACAGAAGCCCCTTCCCCAGCAACGCCCACCTGCAGGTGCAGATTTTTGCCCTGCCAAGGCAGGGGATGAGGCTCGGCTCCTTCTCCAGTGCAGGCTGGCAGTCTACATGCTGCTGGGGCTGGGGTCCCTGCTGGTGGGGGGGATGCCCCCACCCTGCCCCCCTGCCTGCCAGTGCTACGACACCTCCAAAGTCTTCTGCTCAGAGGAGAGGATGCAGGAGATCCCGGCAGGCCTGCCAGGGAACGCCACCCAGCTCTTCTTCGTGGAGACGGCCCTGAGCAGCATCCGCAGCGGGGCCCTGGGCTCCAGCTCCACCCTCACCAAGCTGGTTTTCCTCAACAACAACATCCAGGAGCTGGAGGCCGGCGCCTTTCGGGGGCTG